GCAATATACTTGGAATTAGTCTGTTCCGACGGTCGGAGTGAACACGAGTCGTGACCCGAAACCCAGATGCATCACAAGTTGTGCTCGTGCAGTATAGCATCACCAATGAAACTTTGTAGAATCGTCACGGTTCGAGCCAATAAATAAGACGATAACAACTCAATAAGGTCGTCCGTGTCGAAGTCTACACAAGCTATATAGTATGTACATTGTAGCGAGACGCATATCTGTCTACGCACATAGTGTCCAACCTCACATCCTGGCTAACCATATATAGACCCTATCACAGATTCCGCGTAGTCAGGCGGCGCCTCCCCAAAGGGACCCCCTTCCTTCAGCCTCGCAACCTGCTTCTGCAGCGCTTGCAGCTCCGCATACATCATCCGTATGCTCGGACTGTCCGGACGCTCGTTTAAGTCGAGGCCGAAGGCCTCCAAGGCTGTAATGGGAGTCACAGGTGCAGGTGCAGGTGCAGGCGTTGGCACACTGGCAGGTGCACGGGGTTGCGGTATCGGGGGCGACGGGAGCCTACGTATGCTCCGCGCGGGCTCAATTTGGGAGTCGCGCCGCGCGGGGCCGAACGACGGAGCTGGCGTGTAGTAGTCACCCAAGTCGGATATGTCAATGTCGAGTGGGCTGATGGGCGTCGTGGTCGCCGCAGAGTAGAGCGACGGCCCGCGGCGGACATTCTGTGTCGCAACGGATAGCGAATCGCGCTGCGGACGCGGAATGGGTGGCACCGGAGGAGTGGGTATGGGGAGGGGACGAGGGTCCCAGGCTCGCTCGCTGCCAACAACGCTGATCGTATCGCCTGCCCGCGACATGGTCCGCTTCATGTCCGACACAGTGGCGCAGTGGAAGGACGATGCCGACAGCGTGCGGTCGTACGACTGGGACTCCGTCCCGGAATGAAGGAGGGGGCTCTGGGATGCCGTATAGCTCCGTTTCCGATTCGGAGCACGAACCTTTTGGTCGATGGTCGAGACGCTGTTTTGAGTCGTTTCTGCTCCGCGATCTCTCGGCAGTGGCTCGTTGTCGGCCTCAAGTTCGAGAGGGAACGGATCGATATGAGAACGACGTCGACGGCGGCTAACGAAGATAACGACAACGAAGACTACAAGTACGAGGGTACCCCCGACCGCGCCTCCGATGACAGCACCTAGAGGAACCGTAGGAGTATTTGAGGTGGCCGACGTGGACTGAGAGGAGGCCGCAGATGGTTGTGGATTGGCATCTTGTGTTGATGGAGAGGTGACGGTGAATGGGAACGACGCTTCGGACGAGCCTGACTGTTGTGGAGCCAAAGTGGAAGCGTCACCTGAAGGTGAGGGTACCGCAGCGGCTGTTGAGGTGATGCCAACCCACTGGCCTAGGTCCGTGCGCTCGGAGGCGAATACCTTGTTTGTGATGCTGGTAGATGGTGGTGTAGACGTCGACGAGGATGATGGAAAGGAGGCTGAATCCGAGACGGAGTCGTCGTCGGTGGTGTACACCACGTAATCGAATAGGATCATTGACGGGAGATCCGTGGTGGATCGCATCACGAGTGTATGCGCCACGTTCTCCAGCGCGGTACTAGAGAAAGTGAGCGCATTGTAGTTGAAGGCCGTGCTCGTAGTAGAGGTGTGCACAAACGTGCCCACTTGCGTCCCATCCAGCCAGAAGGTCAAGTTCGTTGGCGGCGAGGCCGTGTCAGAAACCCTGTTTGCGAGCACGTTGTACACGTACACCGCAGTGCCGGTGAACTGTATGGTCGCCGTGCAGGGACCCGTGCCGTCGAGGTCGCACAAGCCATCATGCCAAGTACTGTCGAACGTCTGTGATGGGTCGAGCTTCACCAGACAGGTCGGACATGTTGAGCCTTGACTCCAGGCGGATGCGGGAGAGTACTGAGGAACGAGTCCTGTGACGGCGTCGCCGGCCTGGTCGTCAATAGTGCGGTTGACCAAGATGGCGGTAGACACGTTCACTGTCAAGAGGATACAGATAGCAAAGAAGAAAGACCGTAGGTGAAGGACCGACATGGTGCCGCATCCAAATGGCAATGACAGACAGTCGTGTAGCGCGCCAAGCTGCGAAGAGAAAGTACGGGGACAGAAGAGGGGGGTCAACCGGGGTATTGTCATGGCAAGTAGTAGGTAGAATTGGGGGATTCTTGCACAGGTAGAGAAGAGACGTTACAATGGAAGCGCTGTGGGAGTCGAATGTTGCTCGGAAGCAGGGACGACGAGACTTGTGGATAGTGCATCATAGTGCATCAAATGTTCCATCCACCGTCAGCGGATGAACGGAGGATGATCTGAAGATAACGGACACACCGTCATAGAGTGCTGCATCTGCATGACACTTGGAGGTGCCCATAGCACGGGTAGGTTAGCTAGTTGTTTCTTTGTGATGTATCGAGACAACCGAGCAGTCCATACACGGTGAGTGATCCAATCGGTCGAGTGGGATTGTGTCAGGTTTGACTGGGAAGGGAGGCACGGAATCAGATGTCCCGATTGAAGTTGCATGGTATATCAATCAAGGGTTCAACGACTAGTATCAGTTAGCCGCATGAGAAGTACCTGACGGAGAGCAGTCGACGATATAGAACTTGACATGAAGATTGCCCAAGATGTTCGAGTTGCCTAGTTCTTCGCCTACATCGTCAGAACAGGACAAGAGTTGCCTTGGGCTGTGGCATCTGGATGCCGGATCGGCCACACGTCCGAGTCAAAATGGGCGGCTAATGACTGATCAGATCTTGCAGTGCAAGCCACGAGGGCCTAGCGAGTCGAACGTTCACAACTCATGTCTTGGTATCTACGCTTCTTGGGTTGACCAGCGCCTATTCTGTACGACCAACGCTAGGTCCTACGATTCAGAAGGAAGAAGGGTGGCATTCGCGTAGACCCCACTGCCGTTTTGAAGGTTGAGCGCCTGAGCACGGGTGCACATTGCAGACGGCCTACGCCGATCGCCGAAAACCCGTGTATCGGGGACTGTCGGTGCCAGGCTCGTCGCAATACATGAACGACGTTCATCCCGTAGTCATGTAGGAGGGACACAGCTCAAACGGTAGCAGACAGTGTAATTCGGGTGACATTCACCGCCACAGACGTCAGGAGGCGGGTGGTGGAGTCGCCGTTGGAAAACCGGCCATAATCCTCCACAGAAAGCACCGTTGGCTCCGGACGAGCATGGGCATGGAGTGGAAGCTCGTAAGCTTCGTGTCACTGCGTGTCTCCAGGACTTCTATCTCGCCGGGCTGCAACCTTCCACGTCGCACAGATCGCACGTGAGTCACAAAAATCACTCGCTTGTGATACGCGTGCGAACGTGAAGGACGTGCCCGGTCGGAGAGATGCCATAGAGATGACGCAGGAGACGCGGTAACAGCCTATGGGCGATGCGAGAGATTAGACAGTAGTACGGATATACCAGTAAGTCTAAGAGCGTTGGAGACCGACGTCGGCCATGCCAAAAGCAGTACGTAGTCGCATTTTGCCGAAGATAGACGCTTTGCGCCGCCGTAGGCCATAACTTCGTCTTACCGTCTTTCAACGGTCTTCTCTGGCTATGCTTTTGTCCTTCCAGTCCGCGCTGTTGGCTAACACCAGTCAAAAATATACACAGTTGACGAAACCCCACCAAAGTGGCGTCGAGGCACATCTTCAATCGGGCTCCGGTTGCACGAAACGTCTCTCCGGCGTCGACTGCCTCTCGACCATTGTCGAGGTCCACATTCGCGTTCATGCTAATGCGTTGCCCCACCCCTCTCAGTGGCTCTATGTCACCGTTGATCTGACCTTTACAGATGGTTATATACCTCATTGTTTCCCCCATAAATGTCAACCCTGGCAGAATTTTTCAGCATCAATGGACGTGACCACGCGTGCAAGCCAGCACCGTGCTTCTGTTACCGTGGAGGATTCCGGTGACTATATCGTGGCTAGGAAGTACGAGGGACAGGAACGCCTCGAAGGCGAGCCGAGTCTGGACCGCGCTAGCCCAACAATCTTCGATGGAACCACGACTAGGATGAGCTGCTATGCCTGTCTCGATCTATCTCATGCATCGCCAGCCCCTTCAACTATAAGGCGTTCCGCATGCGCTTTGCGAGGCTTGATCACATACTCGTACCCTTGCACGTGGCTAGTTCCGAATCACACAATCAGCCATATAGGGAGGAATAGGCGGACGTGAAGCCACGCTTACGACACCATATCGTCCGTGGGCCTATACTGCATCTTTACCGGCCTGCCGCGCTCGTCCGAAGGCGGAAGGACGTCGAAGACGTGCAAGACAGAAGCGCAGTAAATGGACAGGGACGCCTCCGCGAAGTGGCGGCCGGGGCAGATCCTACAGCGCGGTCGTGAGCGCAGACAGTCTCAGACGGTACGCGAACACTCCACTGACCTCCGCCCGAAACCGAACACATACTCTGCTGGATCCCGCGCTGGAGGATTGCCCTCCGAAGGGAGGAAGCGCTCGGGGACAAACGCATGCGGTTCGGGATACTCGCGCTCATCCTTGGACATGGCCCTGTCCTAGACTTCAGCACGGCGGGGACGGCCGAGCACACACTCGTCAGCACGCACCATATATTCTGGTTGACGACCGTGCCCGCGGGGATGCAGTACCCCTCGTACTCGTCGTCCGCCAGCGCGACATGCGGCAGCCCTGCGGGGAGGATGATGTGCCACCGCAGCGTCTCCTTCACGACCGCCTTCAGGTACGGGAGCGATCCCACGTCGGAGAACGTGGGTAGGCGGTCGGGGCCGACGGCTGCGTCGAGCTCTTGTTGCGCCTTGCGTTGCTTGTCCGGGTGCATGGCCATGGCCAGGAAGAACGCCTCCATGATGGCGTGGGTCTGCAGGGAGGCCGCGAGTCAGAGAAAAGGTGTGGGCCAACAACGGGGTACGTGCCGTATCAGACCCGGCTGTGGCGATGGAATCCTGTTCAGCATAGGGTTGCGAACGGATGAGGCGCGAAAGCACGAGGTGACACACTCACAGGCAACCGCCGTGAGGGTCCGGCCCATCTCTCGAACTTCGGCTGCATGGACGTCCTTTGTATCGGCGGCAGCGAGTATCCGGGCTACCATAGAGTCGCGAAGGGAGCCATTTTCCTGTAGAAGCAACCAAGATATATGAGGGATGCTTCATGGCATCGCTTTCTACGTCTCAGACAGAATGTCTCACATCAGCTGTCGCAGCCACGGTATACAGCTTGTCCGTGATGGCATCGATATCCCGCCTTTGTTCCATGGCATTTCTCTTGATGTGAAGCCCAGGGAGCCAGGAGGGAAGGTGGAGCAGGAAGGGGAACGCTTGCATGATGTATACGCCCGGGTGGAGCAGCGGCTCGGCGATGCGCCTCACCCGCTCGACCATCTCATAGTATTCGCGGTCGCTCCCATCGTCCTTCAGTTCGATACCGTAGCTGACACGCATGCTAGTCTCTGCGATCGCTCTGGAACAATATACCATAGTGAGTAAACCTGTACAGTCTAGGCCAGAGCTCACAAGTTCAGATGGGACAGGAAATCCTTGGGGCTCGCCAACAGGCGGCGCAGGAGCGTGCGGGCTGTCTTCAGTTGGACTGGCTGCCATTGTGCGATAGCGTCGGGGCCATACGTGCCACGGAACGCACGGCGATGCTCGCGCAAGCTCCGCCCGTACGGCATGAAAACCATGTATTTGTTGAGGCCAAGGCTGATGGTGGGAACTCACAATGAGAGGGCGAGGGAGGAATAGAGAAAACACGATGGCCTACAGCTGAAACATAGCAGATTCTGGACGGCTAGAGAGGTTTGCGGCCTTCTTGTCGAGCAGCTCGGTTGCATGACGGAGGGTGTTGACAATCACCACGGGTTGTCCCATGACGTTAAGGTGCATAACATCGCCTGATACCAACAGAGTGAACATCGCTGACAGCACCGCAGACTAAGGCAGCTCACCGTACGTCTTGCTCATATTAGCCAGGGAGGGGCCGATGCTAGATCGTGGTATATTGAGGGCATTTCCAAGCAGGGGGAGCGGGCGTGGACCTGGAGGCAGAGGCGACCTAGTCTGCCGACGAGCGGTCCGTAACGCTATGGCTGAAAGAGCTGCAATCATGATCCATAGCAGCCATGGACCGGCTGCTACAGATTCTGAGCTGATTACAAGGGACATGCTCACAAACGAGAGAAGTGGACTCTGTTGGCATGGGGGTCGCGCTGTTGGGCATGTTCATATGGACATAGAACCTAGACAAAGCCTATCAGCGCGGGCCCGAGGATGCCAATATGGACGTGTGACGCGAAATGAACGCTCTGCATCTGTCGTAGTAACATTCCCATGTGAGGACGGAGTGACATACGAGACTCCGCGGTCCCCCCATATCCCCACGAAACGTCAGCACACCCCGATACCGTTTCGGTCAGAATGCAGCCGGGAGGGGGCAATCACGATCCGTGGCGTGGTAGGCAGCCATTCTGGGAGGAAGCCCGTCCTTCTGTTCGCTCGCATACGCGGCGCAGGTTGCGACACAGTGGCATCGAGACAACAGGTGGATCCTACAACACAGCGCAGACGGCTCCAAGCAATGGAGACTCCACAATCATAGTAACGAGAACCTCTGACTGGCTGTAGGTAATCATTGACAATTGAAGATTAAGAGTGAAGGGCAGCGGCGGCAGTTCACGTATAATGTGTGACTCGAGCGGAAAGCGTCTCTGGAGGGTAAACCGCCTATCCGAGTGAGACCAAGATCGCACAGCAACCGCTAATTCACCACGTACCTCGTAGGCCACAGATAATAGGTGTTTGCGAGAGTGAACGGAACGTCAGGTCGTTGCCCGCATGGATATGCCATCATCATCGGTGTCACAAAACTCAGCACTGGCAGACGAGACTTATGGCCGGCTTGCCCTCGAGGGTGCTTCGATCCTTGCAGCTGAGGCCACTGATCCCGCGCACTGTGGATATGAGCTATGATGAACTGTGATGTGTCGGATAAAGGCTTGTTGGGCGGCGTACATGAAGTACGGCCGCGCCGCAAGCAACTTCGTCACGTCGAGAAACGTTCATGGCGTACGTACTACGTAGGCTGGAGATAGCAGATACGGCGTCCATTTATGGTAACACGCATTTCAGACGCGCCCATTCAAATCCACGATCGGGATATACGCTCGGGACCCGCAGGCCCTGTGCTCGACTTACCCTTCGTCACCGACGTCGCTCGCATTGGACTGCAACCTCTCACTGACTTGAACACAAATGGACTTACTAAGGCGCATCGGACTACCATGCGGGGCAACCTGCCTCTCGACGTCATACACCTGACCAGATGCGTCCCATGCGCCCCGTATATAATACAGCCCCATATGTTTTGGACGGCACTGGAACTCCCAGAATCCCCTCCTCGCACTCAGAGAAACCCACGAACCATGTCCAAAATCTGGATCCCCGCCCCAGAGCCCCCGACCAAGCTCGGCCGCTACCGCCAGCTCTCGCCGCTCGCCGGCGTGCGTGTCTCCCCCATCTGCTTCGGAGCGATGAGCATCGGGGACAAGTGGGAGCAGCTCGGTATGGGCGCGATGAACAAGGAGTCGAGTTTTGCGCTCCTCGATGCATTCTACGAGGCTGGGGGCAACTTCATCGACACCGCGAACAACTACCAGGATGAGTCCTCTGAGGAGTTCATTGGGGAGTGGATGGAAAAGCGGGGGATCCGGGACCAGATAGTCGTCGCGACCAAGGTAGGCACCCTGCACGCTCGCGTCAGAGGGCGGGTCGAACCTGCCGCACGACTGCGTGAGATGGCAGCTGACGCTGGTGGGATACGAACAGTACACGACCAACTTCAAGAGGCACGCCGAGGACATCAAGCAAAAGGTGCACTACACGGGCAACAACCTCAAGGCGATGCACATCTCCGTCGAGGCGTCGCTGAAGAAGTTGCGCACGGACTACATCGACATCCTCTACGTCCACTGGGTGAGTCCTATTCGCCGAGATGCCGCATCAGATGTGATAGGCTTATCGGATCCTCTACCCCAGTGGGACGGGGACACCTCCGTAGAGGAAGTCATGAACGGCCTCCACAACCTCGTGACCTCAGGAAAGGTTCTGTACTTGGTAAGCCCGACATGGACTGGGCGCAAGCCGCGTTGTCGCAGCCGGCTCACTTGCCGCATCCTCAGGGTATCTCGGACACCCCCGCGTGGATCGTGTCCAAGGCGAACCTGTATGCGCGACTCACGGGCAAGACGCCGTTCGTGATCTACCAGGGCGCGTGGAGCATCCTCCAGCGCGACTTCGAGCGCGACATCCTCCCCATGGCACGCGCTGAAGGTGCGTATATGCGTCCCCCGCCCAGCTCCAACACACCAGTACAAGACGTCTGAACACTACTTCCTTGCAGGCCTCGCGCTCGCCCCCTGGAACGTCCTCGCCGCAGGTCGGGTCCGCACGGACGAGGAGGAAGAGCGCCGCCGCCAGACGGGCGAGCTCGGGCGCACGATCTCCCGCCCCGCGTGGGAGCGCACGGAGAGCGAGCGCAAGGTGTGCAAGGCGCTCGAGGACGTGCAGCGGCAGGTGGGCGCGAAGAGCATCCAGGCGGTCGCGATCGCGTACGTGATGCAGAAGACTCCCTACGTGTTCCCGATCATCGGGTGCAGGAAGACGGAGCAGCTGCAGGCGAACATCGAGGCGCTGGACGTGAAACTCACCGAGGAGCACATCAAGTTCTTGGAGGGCGTGCTGCCGTTCGACGCGGGGTTCCCCAGCACGATGGTGGTGAGCGGTGTTTTCCTGTGCTGGTGTGGGAGCATGGGGTGGGTGCTGAGTTGGACTGTAGGGCGACGGCACGGAGTATATCCTGCTGGCGCGTTCGGCGGGCAACTTCGACAAGTGGCCGAGGGCTCAGGCTATCCGTCCCTGAGGGAAGTTGTTGATTCGCAGAACGGGTTGAGTGTGTTCCTGCCACAATGCGACGGATATGTATCATCATTGCGCGGAACAGTTCCAAATATGAACGAATTCGCGAAGTGTAAAAAACCAGGCTGGTCTTTCTCGTGAGGTCGTCGGGCAGGACACTCCGCATCATAGCCCCCGGGCATTTTCTTCTCATCGCGATCTCCTTTAGGTGTTATATGCTAACCCATTCACTGTGCAGTGTGCGGCTGACGTAGGATGAAGAGGTCACGCATGGTTGTCTCAACGTGGCTCAGATCACGATACCGACTCTACGGTGGGACACGTCGTCCTGTACTTCAATTCCCCCGGTGTCTTCCCCTCTCTTCTAGAGCCAAACGCGCCCGACGTCCTTGCTTGCCCCCAGCTCTTTCACAGGATCATACTTCAGGTATCTTGAAATATTTAGCTGTTGTTTGACGCACAAGAAATGAGTCTACTCAAGGGCTCTGCGAGATGCATAAACTTGAACCTTGCTCTCCGCAGACTCCTGCCAGACTTGACTAGGCCGGGATCCAACATAATGGTTTGAAGTTCCGCTCATCTGTCCTGTGAACCCAACTTGAAGGGGCGCTGACTCTTACAGAATCAGCTCGGAGTATACAAAGTCGCACTTCTCATAATCACAAGATCTAGTCATTTGATGCTGCCGGTATCCGGCAGTTGGGGTTGTTCGGTTGGCCTGGACTGGATCGTTGAACAAAGAAACAACAGGCGCCCACTTGGGCCCCGGCGCACCTACCCCGAGAGTGAACTTGGCGCTTTACAACCATCATAACCACTTCACCCATCGGCCACGGCCTCCTCTGCATTCTGTGTCTGACCTTTCGAGACACTGGCAGAAGAGACATATATAGCGCAAAAAGATGACTGCCGTGATCCCAAGCTCACGCAGTCCCATGTCGTCTCCGCCGGAGGAGGTCGAGGCGAACCACGAGGGCTGTGGACAGTCGGAGTCCATTGGGAGCTACGGTATGTATACGCAGAACGAAGCTGGCCATCCTCTCCCGACTAACCATCAGGCCATCGCAGATCCTCTGGAAGCGAATACCGAGGACGTCGACGAAGACTTCTTGGCCAATCACCTACGCTCCCCGCCGACGTTTCACGCAACCGAAGAGATGCTAGAGAAAGTCGAGAGGATTCAGAACATTGGAACTACCGAGAAGAACATGTATCAGTCTCTTGCTTCCCTCTTGACCACTATGAGCGAAGCGTTGTACGGTTCGTCATAAAGTCTTCCCCATTTCTCTTACGACACCTGACGCATCTTCAGAAACCCTCACCGCAGACATGCAGGAGAAGCTACGCTCACGACATCGCGTTCCTGCTGGCGAACCAGGGCACATGACATTCATCAACCACTCCTCGTCTGCAC